TTTTTTTTTTTTTTACTCATTACTTTATTTAGTATTTATTAATAAATAAATCATATTTCATTATCATACTAATATTTAAAAAAAAAAAGAGGTGGTATTTTCCACCGTCCTCCCGTCACAATAAAAAAAAGTAGTTGGGGTGCGCAAAAAAATTTTAAAAAAAGTAGAGGAGCTACGTCCCCCTGCGCACCCCCCCCCAATTCGAGCACTGGTTAAAAATATTATCTTAAGGTAAAATGGTATTCATTTTACTATGATGTGTTTATTATTTTTTTTTTTGTCTGTTACTACTTTTTCTCATCTCTCAATGGACTTATTTATTTCAAATACAGTTCAAAAGATTACAAGTCGTATCTAGTTGAAAAAATTTTCCTCGTTTCCCGTTAATGGGGAAATCCACGAAAAAAAATTATGATTTATAAAATCAGTAAACTTTAACATTTTTAATCTTTTTTTACTTAAAACTTTTTGAAAAATGGATACAACAAAACAATTTTTTTTCATAAATACCTTAAATATTTACCTTATACATGGTATATATTTTTTTGAAAATTTGATCCTTTACATGCTCACATGGTGTGTTTAAAGTGCATTTTTCGTTCAATATTTGCACCTTTTCAACGTGGTTAGTTGAGTTGGGTTTGGAATAAACAAATTAAGTGAGTTAACTTCTTATAATTTATACGTAAAATCTCAATACTAAATTATTACATATCAATTTCATACTAAATATAATTACTATAATAAAAATATTGATTCATGTATTATCCTTATAAATCTTGTAATCGAGGTATAATTAAGGAAATAAGAGTTGATATGATTTTGGAAATATCCAACAACTCTTTTTAAAAATTAATCATTTTCTATAGTTTTGCATCGGACCTTTTTTTATGATAGTAATTTTAATATCCGTCAGATATCTTCTATACTTCTTCTGACTATGCTGCGTCTCTAATGTGCTGGGTTTTTTATATTTCTTTTATTTTTTTAGGGTGAATGCTGATTGTGAGCATTTACCATTCAATAAATAGTACATAATTTTTCTAGGTTACAAATTACTTAAAAAAATTCTGAGTGGGTATACCCACTCTCAAACATTGCATAAACATATGCATATAAACATAACATATTTTTTCGATAAATATTATATTTTAGAAGAATAAGTGTAAATACAACAATACGTCAAAAGATCACAAATCTTATCTAATTAAAGACATTACCCTCAAAAATAAAAAATTTTGCCCTCGTTCCTGGTAAATAGTGAAAAAAATTACGATTTTTAAAATGGGTAAATTTTGAAATATATTTCATTTTTTTTTTCTAAAAATTGTATATAATTGGGTTATATTGATTTTCATGAATATTATATAATACTAATTGACATAGAACATAAAGTTAAACTTATTTCAATTTTTTTTTTCTTTTAAGCTAAAAAAAATTAATTTTAACATTTGAATCAGCTGAAATTGCAAATTTTAATAAAAAATGTAACGAACGTTTGCCGATTTAGTAAAAATCATTGCCACAGGCAATGATTTTTTTTGCAATTTTTCCTTAATTCATTTTGAGGTAGAATTTTTCTTTTGAAAAATCCACTAATTTCTTAAAATTAAACACTATCAAAGATTTGCATCGAAGCGTTTCTTATGACAGTGATTTTAATCACTATCAGATATCATCTCTACTAGTCCCAACTATGCCACGCTCATATTGTGCCGCGACCCCACTGTGCTACTGTTTTTTTTTTTGGTTATCAAGCAATCACAGAACATTTTTTTGCAAAGAACAACTAATCTTATAAAATTTCAAGATTAAGATTTCATACTTTTAAAAAAACTATTCATGTATTATTATATTCAAAGTTTAAGAAATAATTCAGAAAAAAATTGTATAACTTTTTTAAAAGTATCTATAAGAAAAAATTAGGACTAAATTTAATTAAGTCCTCCTAAATTAAATTAATTTCTTTAAAAATTAACCAATTTTTGTTTATTTTATAAAAATAAAATTTTCATTAAAAAATATATATATTTTCGATAAAGAAGTATAATAATTCCTTTTTTAAACTAACACTACATTAGAAGTGTACATCCATTTCTAATAAATAATAAACTTATGTTTTTATAGACATTATTTTATTTTTGAATGACAAAATTAGAATATGTTTAAGCTTTTTAAGTCACAATAATCATAATATTAACTAATTATACTTAATTAGATATGCAGAGATTTGGCGAATACAGTTTCTCCAAATAAGAACAAATATATAATATTATAAAAAAGTATAATAACGAAATAAAAAAATAAATTTTTGTATTAATCACTTTACACTGAAATATTTTTTAAATGCATCATTTAATTTAAAAATCACCAGAAATTAAAAAAAATAAATTTAATTATAGAATCTTAATTATATTTTAATTTTAAAATGTGTCTATTGAAACATATAATATTATTAATTTTGCTATGCAAACTTCATGTCATTTAATCTTTGTTAGTTGACTTAAAATTAGGTCAAAAATATGTATAATGTCTCTGGATGTTTATCAAGCAAGAATCCCAGTGTTAAATCGTTGGTTGATATTATACAATTTTTCTTAGAAATCAATTGTGTGGTTATGTATCTAATGTAAAAACCTGCATAATTTCATTAATCATACACTAATACTTTTAATATAAAATTTTATATTGTATAATGAGGGATAGATTCCCCATTGTCAAATATTTTTACATTTTTATATAGACGTGTATAATGAGTACCGGGAGAAACAGTGATAGTTCAAATTTTACTTATATTCATATTAGTTGATACTACTAATGTAGAAGTATCAAGTATTATAGATTATTTGGTGAACAATTATTTCATTTTATAATATTAAAGTGTTTATTTTTGTTTTAATATTGTAGGAATAGGAATATATATTTTTAAAAAAATTACATAAATGGACTACTACCGTTTTCTCTTGTATCCTCCATATTATATTTTTGAATCTTTATTTACTATAATTAAATTTAAGTTATTGAGCATAACATTAATATGAAAAAATTAATATCTCTACAAAATTTGGAAGATTAAATGTTAAGTCTTGATCGTTATCTAAATGTTAAATGAATTAAATAGCGGGGTACTATTCTTAAATTAAATATTTGAAATAGATTCAATATAAGAGAGCCATTTACGCACACAGAAACATATTGATATAACTTAGAACAAAATATAAAAAAAAACATAACTATTATGTAATTGTTTAAAACAAATCTATACTAATATTGATTTTGTTTAAATTCCTATCATATTAATAATCAACTGTTTAATTTTAATAGATTCTTTTGTAAATAATAGATTTTTAATTAAAAACCGAAAATTAAATTGTAGTTACTTAGTATACAACATGTATAGTGAGATACCTACTGAAATCTTTAATTTAATTGAATTGATTAATTGCTCATCTTATAGACAATCTCATAAAACTGTCTATATTTAGTATTTATTTAGTTTAGAAAGATGTGTAGTCATACAGTTACAGCGACGAAATTTTTTTGTTTATAGATTACTCACGTCAAACGATGAGTCACATTAATATAACAAGTATTGAGACTCGAATTCTGCAGTTTTGTATATACATTTATATCATTGTTCCGATTATTGATAAGATGTAACGATTGGTTATAGTATGAACACCCAGATAGCGCCATAGTCTTTTGAGATATACCATCTATTTAAGCACGTTTTCGTATGTATTCGCGTCCCATCGGCTAGTGCAAGTGGTGAGAGTTATGACGGAACGCGAGTGAGAGAGAAAGCTGTTGTCCAAGGTATACTGTGTAGAGAGTTGAAGTGTAATTCTTTGCTATCTCTGCTGCCCGCTCGCTTTAACGCCAGACGATTCTCCGCTAGGCTGGGCGTGTTTTGGCCACTGACTCCGCTGATTGTTTGGTAGGCCCTACGCACACACACATTGATTACTCAATAGTGTATGTACTATTCATACTCGATTTAATAAACATAGTATCATCATTCGCATATCATCTTTATTGCTATTTATTCAGCATTGTTTTGATTTTATTCTTCTATGTTGTACTTTTTTCATGGTCGACTCGTTTGATATTTCATTCGCGTTTTTCATATCAGATATTTTCAATGACAAATAACCAGTGCATTGTGTAGATCTAAGACGATCGGTCTGTAGGTGTCGAGTAAAGCTATACTAGATTTGAATTCTAGTGTTCATGAAAAACAACTCGGTGGAGGATATCATAAAAGAATATATTGCCTGCTCGTAATGTATTATTTGTGTTTATAGGGTAAGATTATTTTGAAATAAATTAAATTTAAATCTAAATGAAATATTAAAGCTTCATTGCATTGATTCCAGTAGTCTACATACTCTTTTCTAATTATTATTGTTTTTATTAAAATTGACATTTTCTAATGATAATCTAATAATATTATATAAATAATATTTATTGAATAAAAATAATTCATACGTTAAAGCCAAAAGAAATTTTCAGTTGAGCAAATTTAATATTAGCTTAGAACTACTAGGCATTATAAGGCTGGTTCCATGGTTGAAAAAATTTAAGTTTAAAGGCTCTTTATTATTAGTCTTTTATTAAGTAAGAAATAGTTTGAATTTCATCAAGGTTGTATTAAGATTGTAAACATATTGATTTTAATAGATAAATATTTAAGTTTGGATCTGAAATAAAAAATGATTTGTATTATTTCAGTACAAGATTTATTGATAATTTAAGTTAAAAAAATTAATAAATTAATCATTTTGCCTATATAATTTTACCTTGTAAATTATAATCTCTCCTAACTATATTATTATTTATCCAAATGATAAGAAAATTAGCAAGGTTAAGTTAGATGAAAATATTTATTCATGTACTTTTACAAAAAAAAAATATTTATAATCTTTTCTATAAACTATTTTACTATCAGTAAAAAGTCAGATAAAATAAAAAAAATTGACTAATTAATTGATATCTAACACTTTATTTAGATTATTTAAAATTTATTCCAGAGCTAAAATATGTCTATTCACAATGTTATTATCTTAATCTATTTGGAATTTTTACAAAAAAATTACAGCATATACAAATGTTTATTTGTAAATTAATTATTTACTCTTATTTTAATATAGAGCTGTTTTGTTACTAAATGTACAGATGAGAATTTTAAGAAAATATAATCAAATAGCTGGTATAGGTCTAATTTTCCAATAGTTTGTGGCATTATGGAGTTTATTTTAGTATAGTTACATTTTGTCACTTATGAAGCAATATCTTTTATATCACATTTTGATTAAAATTAGTTAGCAATACTCTTTGGAAAAATCATGAGGGAAATATGAGTGTCATATCCCTCCTCCACAATAAAATTACATGGTGGAGATACAATTTTTTTTGCTTGGAGAGAAAGGGAACAATTTTCTTATGTATATCTTCCCAAAACAAAAACTTTAATTATGGAAGTAGCAATTCAATTATAATATAATAGTAATATAATACATATTATGTAAAATTTTGCGAGAAATCGAATGGTAGACTCAGATTTTAGATAAACTCAATATTCAAGTAATAATCTTATGAATAACAAATCATGACAGGTAATACTAATTTCATAAAAAACAATTATTTATTTCTTGTAAATTGACACAAATGAAGTAGCTGGTTTTGCTTCTTAAGTGACAACTTATTAAACCTAATTCAGTTGTGCAAGAATTATGAGTTAGATTTATTGTGTTGCTGAGGAAATGTATGGTTATCTTTTTTAGGATACTAAAGATGCAAATAATATAAAAAAGCACCATAAGGAAGTATTTTGAAAAATTTAACTAATCATTAGTAATGTTGGAAGCTAGATCAGAATCAGCAACATGGCAAGGAAAATCTACTAATGGTATACGACCTCCTCCTCACACTCCTCATCATCATCATATGTCAGCTATGAGGCCAGGTAAACAAAAAAATACTAAGTATTACATTGCCTATGATATAAAAGGAATAATAATAAAAATATATAGTTATTAGTAATAAAAAGATTAATTGATTCAAGGCTGAAATGGGATTTTTAAACCAAAAAAAAAAAAAATTTTCTTTTTCTTTTATAAAACACATGTATTAAAAAAAAAAATGGTAGCACAATAGAGTCACAGCTCAGTATGGACATTTCATAGTTGGGACAAGTATAGATGATAATTTTTTTTTTTTAATAGAAAAGTACTCATTGTATATATTAGTATGTTCGTCTTTGTTATGGGGTCATTCTAATTGTATATAAACATTTAAAATATAACTCTAACATTAAAAACTAGTCTCTTCATTGCCTCACTAACATTTTTGCAAAAATATAACCATTAGGTCAAAAAAATTATTCTATAATGTTCAGAGTATAAAAATATATAATTTAAATACATTTAAATTAATAGTGTAATTGAGAGATATTATTTTCAATATTGAATAAGAAATCATCTAGTGAAATCCACAAAATTACTGCTAACAATCACTAAATTTTTTTCTTAATTAATTGAAAGTATTAAAAAAGACACCATAAAAATCGAACATCAATATATTTTTGGTTACTTTAGTGCTTATATATAATAATATTATATATTATTTTATTTTAAAGAAAGCACTGAAAAATGATTTTATATTATATTATTTGATGGATAAAACGTTTTGAAAATTATTTTAATTGAATTATGTTGTTTTCATTAATAAGTAATATAGTAAAATATTTGTTCATTGTTATTTTAATTTTAATTATGCATGTTTTGACATTATTTTGTAGGTAATAAATCAAGTCAAGAAGAGTGTTATGTAGTTGCAAAGTATGATTATGTTGCTCAAAGTGCACAAGAACTAGAGTTGAGGAAAAATGATAGATACCTACTGTTGGATGACACAAAACACTGGTGGCGGGTACAAAATGCTCGAGGATTTTCAGGCTATGTACCCAGTAACTATGTAAAAAAAGAAAAGCCATCTTTGTTTGACAGGTAAAATAAAATTTTTGTGTATATTGTTTTACTTTCATTGAATTTGACTTCTACAAATAACTAATGATAAAAAAAAATCATTTATAATATCATTATTTTTGTACAAATTTCCTTTTTATCTTACAAAACTTCAAAATATATTATTTTTATTACTTATGAGGATCATTATATCAATAGTTAAAAGGCAAATTGTTATAAGTATCATTAATTAAATTTTTTAAAGCCAAATATAAATGTTTACTGTAGTGTTGTTAACTCTACCGTGGTACTTTCTTTGATTATTTTATTAATATAAATGATATTGATGTCTAGCTAATGGAATTATATGCATTTATAAATTTACTTAACCCTTATGGAGGGCCCCAAGTTGTGAAACTTTTTGGTAAGGCTATATAGTAGTAATTTAATATTTTTTGTTTTAAGGGGAATAGATCTTCTTAATACCCTTCAATAATTTTTACTATTAATAAAAATTTGTATTTTTCTAAATGCTGTAGCATAATTAACTTTTATTGGTGGTAAAAATAACTGACGACTTTTTTTAGATTTCTTCAAAATCATTAAAAGGTTGCTAAATACACTTAAAATTAAAATATTCTTGGAAAAAAATTTTTTTTGTGAATAGTGAATAGAATATTTAAGCTACTATAACTTATAGTAACTTATTGATTACTAATAGAATTTATAAAAAATAAACTCATTCTTGTCAAATTTTTTATTTTGTGTATTTTTTTAACAAATCTTTATTCAATTTTATATTTAAAATAATAAAAATGTCCTGGTTTTCTCCTGGTAAACATAAGTTGATCCATTAGTGCTTTACTTCTTTGGTTGATGTTACTGCTTCCCTATATAGTATTATGAGAATTTGCATCCATACCAAAAATGATTTTTAACTTTCCTTTATTACAATAATTAAGTAGTGCTATTAGGTCCTTGCTTGGGTCTGAGGACTCATATGATAAGTATCCTGAGGCTACTATATTTGTGTCACCATCACTTAATGTTACCATAATAGTTGTCAAGTCCAAGTTTGACAAATTAAGTAACAAACTGTTTTTTATTTTGTTATTAATCAAAATACAAGATCTTGGTTTAACTGTAAATTAGTTTAAAGCCCTTTAATTTTAGGTATTAATTTGTTAATTATGTTGTCATGGTTTTTGATTAAGAGCTATTTGTAAGGGTTTTATCTGCATCTCAGTTAATGTCCTTAGCAATACACTACTGGCTCCTTTACTTTGTTGTAAATTTATCTGTGTAAATTATATTATGTTATCGCCCGTTCAGATGTGACAATCAAAACCAAACATTTAAAAAGACACTCTAGTTTGGGGGTGATACAAATTTCATTTACAGTCCTGTATCACACAACTCCCCCTATGGGTGATTCCCTGCCTTCATTCCAGGTGGTGACCTTTCCTAGGTGTGTATTCTACATTTCTCTTTAGGTCGGTAGAGGAGTTCCATTAAGTTCCAGCTGTTATTGAAGACGACAGTTTCCTGAGTTTATTACCTCTACAGGGCTCACTTCCTTTTTTCTCTCTCGAGTGGGGAGTATAGTGAGTCTGTTTATTTCTCACCTGTGCCTTACCTTTTTTTCCTAAGATTTCCTAGATTTTCTTGGAATCCCTGGGCAGTTCTGGTATTTGTGTGACTGTTACTCACATACCAGTATATACGTTTGTACCTGATCAGGTTATAAGCCTTTATTTAGATTTCAGCATTGTTCATAGGTTTTATTTTGTTGATATTTTCAGTGAACCATTTAAGAGACATCTATTGGGCTACACTGATCACAAGCGCTCTGTCAATGAACCTAGTAACTTGAAATGTTGATATGTCGGTTCTATTAGTATCCAATAGTATCAAGTCTCCAACATAAGACTGAATGAGTTGCCCTTATTCAGTCAACTTATTAGTGGGATAATGTTTGGTACAATGGGTCTTCTACACCAGAGGTTCAGATTCCTTAATTTGTGGTAACCTCCAACTTTTCCAAATTATTATTTCCCTTATCCTAACTTCTAACTGAGTTAATTAGGATCTGTGGGGTTGTAAGCCTGTATGGATATCCCTGCGGGAAATTATATAACTTAACAAAATTAATAAATACATATAATTCAGCACCCTTTTGTTATCTAAGATTAAAAATTATATCTTGTAAAATATTCACTTAAGACAATTTGTCTTCTAATCGTCAATATGTTTAAATTTTTAGGTTTTGTTAAGCTAGTTAGTTTAGATTAAATTAAAATAAATTTTGTCATAAATGGATTGTAAATATTAATTAAAAATGACATGAGTAAAGCTTGGAATTGCACACAATTTTAAGTGACATTGAATCAAATTTATGGCATTCATTTTTTCTAAAATTAGTCATCCTCTGTTTATTTATTACTAAAAATTTTTTTAATGATATCTTTTATTCTACTTGCAATAACAATTTTTTTTTCAGTATCAAAAAGAAAGTAAAGAAAGGTGGGAGTACATCAAGTACTGGTAGCAAAACTCTTCCATGCAATAGCTATAATAATGGACGTACTGTAAGTGAATCTCCAACCATGGCAAGACGTTTGCCAGCTGATCCTTCTGAAGCAATTGGTACTGCTTTAGTAAAGTATAACTATCAAGCTCAGCAACCAGACGAATTGTCCCTAATTAAAGGAACTAGAATATTAATTCTAGAAAAATCTAATGATGGGTAATTTTTATGATCCGTAGTTATTAAGATATTTCTTAAAAATAAAGTTTTAAAATCATAGAACTAATTTCACTAATATATTTAGTTCTATAAGTATTTAAGTAAATTGCTTAATTTGTAAGATAAATTACGTAAATCAAAAAACCACTCTTACAGTAAAATTTGTAACTCTCTAACGGCACGTGTTAACATCACTCATTTTCAACTAAATTTTGTACAAATTATTTTTTTTACAAAAAAACTTAACCTACAGGGTCATTGATTTATCATAAAACACTCAATTAATCGCAAAGTAAATACATCAATTAGAAAATGTTTTTTTCGTTATTTTTAGTTATATATATTTTTTGATTTATCAATTTATAATTACTTAAGAATATCTAGAATCATCCCTAATAACTTACAGAAGTGTCAATTTTAATTTTTTAACATATATAATTAACTAGCTTTTAAAATAGTACTTAATCTAATTTAAAAAATAACTGGTCAATAAAAACTTTTAAATCAATATTTCAAAAGTTATTAGCAATTTAAAGTAATGACTAGTAGTAAAAAGTAGGTGAAACTACTTTTATCACTAATCGTTTCTTAGGCCATACTTTTCATTCTGCTTAGGGATAAAAATGAGAATAACTTCCAAACTACTGTTTCAAAAGTTCCTATAGACTAATGGTTTTTTTAATTAGATTATTTCATATTTTATAAACTAGTTAAATATGTATGTTGACATGAAAAAAATTAATTTTACATCTCTATAAGTTATAAGGGATAATTCTAAAAAGTAATTTATAGCTGATAAATCAAGAAATATACGTGTTTTAAATAAAACCAACCTTTTTTTTCTATTGATATATAATAATGAAAATAATCCATTTACTTTGCAAATAATTGAGTGATTTATGACAAACTGATTACTCTGTATATCTAAGAATTGCTCTAGTAGGCATGTATTATTGAATATTTATATGAATTAGGTGGTGGCGGGGCCAGAGTGGAAATTCAGCAGGGTGGTTCCCATCAAATTACACCCAAGAGGAGGATAATAATGTGGATGAAGGTCTTCACACTTATGCAATGGCTGAAAATGTCTTAGATATTGTGGTAGCCCTTTATCCATTTAGTAGTTCTAATGAACAAGAACTTAGTTTTCAAAAAGGTGACCGTTTAGAAATACTTGAAAGACCACCAGCAGATCCAGAATGGTATAGAGCTAGAAATGGCCAAGGTCAAACTGGTTTAGTACCAAAAAATTATTTACAGGTATTTTTTCCTTATATCTTGTTTCCATTTCTATTAAGTTGTTTCATTGTTTAATTGTGTTTTAATTAAAATTGTTGGAATTAATTAATTTTTACATGAGTTATTTCTAAATATAACCTATATTATAAGATGAGAGAAAATAGACTTAGGTGGTCATGTTATGAGGAGAGAGGAATAGGAATCGGAAGCTGTAAGAACTGTTATAGAAATGAATGTTGAAGGAAGAAGAGGTAGAGGAAGACCAACAAAGAGATGAAGGGATGTAATTGAATGTGATATGAGAACAGCTGATTTGAGCGTAAATGATTTGGGAGATTGTGTCAAGTGGAAGTTTAGGATAAGGGTGGCCAACCCCAAGTAGTTGGGATAAAGGCGAGGAATAAGAAGAGGAAGAGAACGTATATTTTTAGATATACTATATTCTATTTTTGATTTTATAATTTCAATAATAATATATTTTATTTTATTCTGATTATCTTTACAAAAAGTAATATTGTAAAAATATTGATTTTAGGAATTAAGTGAATATTTAGCTCAACCACTTAGTCAAGTAGCTACTCCTGGAAACACAAAAGTTGCTGATAAACCTCATTTAGTTGGAAAACCTTGGTATTATGGAGCTATTACTCGATCCCAATGTGATACTATATTAAATAATGGTGGTCAAGATGGAGACTTCTTAGTTCGAGATAGTGAAACAAATGTAATAATTTTTTTCCTGTGCAAATTTCAACATATATATTAATTTCATTTTTCTATGTAACAGGCAGGAGATTACTCTGTGTCTTTAAAAGCACCAGGTAGAAATAAGCATTTTCGAGTTCATGTTGAAGGTGCATTATATTGTATTGGACAGCGAAAATTTCATACACTTGATCAACTTGTGGATCATTATCAAAGAGCTCCTATTTATACAAATAAACAAGGAGAAAAATTATTTTTAGTTAGACCACTTCCACGAGTAACTACATCATAGTTATAATTGGTAACTTATTATAATTGTATTATGAATTGAAGATCCTGAGATAACAATGAAAAATATCCGTTTTTTTATTAAATCACTTTCACGAAATCTAATGGAGGAAAATTTCTGTCTTAAATAATATTTTATGTATTTTTTTATAAAAATAGATGCTGTTTAATATGGCTCAACAGTAAGATAAGTCAGGGTCATTAGTCTAATTTAGTATGAAATTTTATTTAATAATAGTGTAATGTCTAATTCATTACGCAGTATAAAATAAGTAACAAATTATTAAATTTTTAACACAATCCTTTAATTAATAATTTATATAATTTTAAAATTTGATTTGTTTAACACCCATTGCTGACTGAAGTTTTTCAAAACTGCTTTTTCTATATTTCAGTGATTTGATACTCTGTTCCTACAAACTCTAACTTGAAACACATTTACTTCAAATATTTTCCTGATGACATGGTAACAAAATGTGTATGAAATTCTGGTTTTTTGGTTATCTGAATTGTTGATAGATTGTCAATATATAATATAGGTTGAATTTTTTCTCCGATTTTTATGCTGTAAATAAGTTTTAATAACCAAATTTATACCTTTACTGTCTTACTTACTGCTTATTATTCAGCTTCCATTAAAGATTATGAAACACTGTTTTATCTTTGCGATATACAAGAAATAACTGATGATCCTAATTTGAACATATATCTTGTCGTTGATTTTGGTGTTTGCACACAAGCAGTATTATCTGTGTCACTAAAAATTTCTAATGATAAATTTACATTAATGTCAAAATAAAAATCATAGTAAATTAATATAATATAAATTATCTAAAAAAATTAATATATTAGTTTTTAAGTTATTTTTTAATACACAAGGATCTGCTTCACTTGATTTAAGATTAAATTTGTTTAAAAATTCTGTAAAGTTACTAGTCCAACGATGTAGTGCTTGCTTCAAACCATACAGTTTTATTTTACTTATATACACAAATTGTGTTGTCTTCATATTCTTTTGATTTTACCATGTCTTTTAAAGTTCCATATTAAAATGCTGTTTTTATACAAAACTTTCTTAGTTTGAGATTTTCATTTGTCGTGACTGATAAATCTATAATTATGTAGTATAAAATGAATAATAAGTTATTCATTATATTTTCAACATGAACAATATTTTATTTTTTTTATATTGATTGTTATTAGTCAAACGTTGTTGTTTGTTATTATAAAATAGCATTCTTTATCAAAGTTAAAAATAAATTTTAAGGAACTATAAATTAACTATTATAATGATTATAATATCCTAAAAAATAGCCATGTCTTGTTGTTTCCCCAGAGTCTTTAATTAGCCTTTATCTAATAAATATATTCTATTATAATATTTATCTAATATATTTATATTAAATTATAAACTAAATTTATTAAATTTTAACTTGTTTTTTTTAGAGATGTTAGCTGATCTGTTGATAGAAAAAACTTAATCAAGATAATTTCAATAATTTTTTTGTCATTTTAAACATAATCTTTTAGAATGTCTAACAATGAGATGATGGGATGCAGAATTTGATTAATCATCAGGTTTATATTTATTATAATGTTATTTATTTAAATATCATTCATACAATAGACTAGTCATATATATAAATCAATTCAAATCTAAAAATGACACATGTTTATTATTCTTCTTAAGTTACTATTTCAAATTTCACTAATTATTGTTTAATATCTTTAATGTCATTATTTCTTAACATATTTTTTTTATTTCTTTAATCATTTGAAGTGTTGTATCATGATAAGTAATATCTTATTCAAACTAGTAATATAAGAATATTCTTATTGAAATAAAAAAAAATTTATATATGTATAAATACACATTATTGAAAAGCAATTTGAATCCCTGTAAATTTTAATTTTTATAGTAGTCATTTTTATAGTTACTTTTCAATAATCTTAATGTAACTACCTAGGGATGCAGATTTGCTAGTTTTTAATTATCTGCTGTGAAAATGTGATATACAATTCGTAAAACTTTGATAACTATTCTATTATTTAACTTACGATATTGTAGTAATTATTAACACAAATTTTGTATTAAGTATGTGTATATTTTGTATAAATTAATGATTAATTAGAAATAAATTTTCATCATTATAGTTGAGATGAAGATTTAACTCCAGTTTAAATATATGTGAAATATCTAAAAGATTTCATGATTGAAAATATTATACTTAGGTATTTTCATTACATCCTACTTTTCAATTTTATATTTAAAGTGGTTGTGTGGTATAACACATTAGTTAATGTTTATTATTTTATTTTTAATAAGTGAATCGTATAAATATTTACTAGTCAAAATGATCAATATTAATAATTGATATATTTAATAAAAAAACTATATAATTAATATATAAAAACAAACTTATTTCTTATATTTGATCACAGTTAATGTACATCACCTGTATTAATTAAACATTATAAACATCTAAATTAACTATAATATAGATCTCGTTTTCGTATGACCAGTTATCATGTTTATTTTTTTTTCCAATCTAATTTTTTTTTTATGTAAATATATATATTGTAATGAACTTTGTATTAATTTTAACATACATATATTAATAATGCTCTCTTAAAAAATATTACTCAAGCATTTAAGTAAGGCTGCTGTTTTTTCTATCTAAAATTCAAATATTTATTTTCATTTATTTTTTATTTTTTGTATTTATTTTAAACAATGTTCTATTAAGTATTTTTTTAATTAACCAACATTTAATTATTAAATTTAATTAGGAGTTGGATTTAATAGTTCTTCCTATTAATATATAAATGTGTTTGTAAAACATTCTTTTTGGATGTTTGTATTTTTGTAAAAAAAATACTTTAAAAATCATTAAAATTTATAAGAATACAACTTTTTGTATGTGTTTATTATAATTTCTTATTAAATACATTTTATACACATTGTGATGATTATTATTATTTATTTCAAGATCCTATTTTAGTTATCCAATGTGTAAAATAATTAATTTATCCTTTTATTTTGTGTTATTGGTTATGACTAACAATTTTTCAATGGCATTGAAATGATTTTTGCTTTTTACTTAATACTATATTGTTCTGTGTATTTTTGTACAATATACAGGTTTCAGACTTAATTGACAATGCTTATAACATATAAAGATAGTTATAATTTTGATAAGATTTTTGTTTTAATTACTATCTTCCTAGACTATGTTTAAAGCACATTTTTTATTAATTACCACTAAAAAGAAGAAATTTAAATTTTTTGTTTTTTCAAAATTTTAAAATATTTTTACTCATTTCTTGGAAAAAATGTTGACTGGTCGATATTAATTTTAGGACAGGTACTCTTTGAGTTACAAGCATTTTATTACATAGAGTGGGTATAGAATGCAGGTGAAGTATACGCAAAACAGTACCATTGTACATACCATCTACAGTATACCCAATTTAAGTATTAAAATGCATGCACTCAATGAGTACTTGTCCTAAAATTGTTATCGACAAATGAACTTTTTTGCAAGGGCTATTTTAAATTTTGAAAAAGAAATTTGTCTTATTAGTGATAAAAATTTACTTTTAACGTAGTCGAAGAGTACTAACAGTACTCAAAAGTAACGTTTCGATGCAAATCTGTAGATAGTGTTTAATTTTAAGAAATTGGTGGATTATTCCAAAAGCTAAAATAATTCCTATTTTAACACGCTTATATTAGTTTCACTTGTATGTTGCGAGTTATGTGTTTGTTTGTAAGTCTCCACGCGCACGTGTTATATTATTCTCGCGTATCTCGTCGTCTATGGCCTTGAGACTAGACTATCGTAACGCATTCACCCCAACCCTCTCACCGCTCGCCGGTAACACTATTTTCCTGTATAATTTTTGTTTTTCGTACCTGTAAATGCGGGTGTATCATCAACATTATATATATATAAACAAATTTTTATTGTTTATTATTAGATATCAACATTTAAAGATTCAAATTTTTTTGAGTTAATATACATGTATAATACATAAGGGATTACAAATACAGTTAGCTTACTGGTTTTTTATGACGATATTAGCAAGCATATAGCCTTTATTATCAATGGTAATAACACACATTGTTGTGAGTTTTTAAACACACTAACTAGCAATGCAGAAATTATACCCATTACTAGTGATAATTGACAATTAACTCTCCGTGACTGTAACAGCGATGTCATAAAAAACTAAAAAGTAAAAATTAAATACAGTTTAAAAAAACTGAAAAACACGCTTTTAAAGTATATCAAACTAAAAAGTTCAAAATAATTTAAAAAATAAGCTTAAAACAATAGTGAACGAAAAATACTAGTATTATTGTGAAAAAAAGCGAGAGGGCTTTGTGCTATAATTTTCGTATATTGAGCGCCCCACGATTTTTTCACAATAATACTAGTATTTTTCGTTCATTATTGTTTTAAGCTTATTTTTAAAATTATTTTGAACTTTTTAGTTTGATATACTTTAAAAGCGTGTTTTTCAGTTTTTTTAAACTATATTTATTTTGTTCCACTTCGACAGCGCCTATACATATCAAACCTAATTCGACAATAAATACTCAAAAAATATTAGAAATGAATGATTTTATTTGTCTGTATGGAGAAAGTTGGTGGTTAAGCAACTTTTTATTTAAAAACCGGGATTTTTTTCCAATTTTCGAGGATAATATGTCTTACTAGATTCTAATTATAATCATATGACTTATTGTTAAAAAAACTAAAAACACGTTTTTAAAGCACATCGAACTAAAAAGTTAAAAATAATTTTTAAAATTAACTTAAAACAATAATGAATGAAAAATACTAGTATTATTGTGAAAAAAAAGCGTCGGGCGCTCAATATACGAAAAATATGGCACAAAGCACCCACGCTTTTTTGAAACTGCTACCAAGGAAAGCAGCAGGCGCGCAACGTGGAGGTAGTGACGAAAAATGACGATACGGAGGAATCATCCCCCGTAATCGGAATGAATACACTACATATCTCTTAATGAGAATAAAGTGTATTAATATATAAGTTTTAATAGTTATTAGAATATATATATATATATATATATGTAAAGCGACTTAAGTACGTAAACGTATCATGCACAAGGTATGGCCGTGTTTTGTGGGCAGGCGTGGCGGGGGGAACGTTATACACGAGGCATAAACGGCGTCGGCTGTAGGAATATATAAATGAATATTAACATGTACGTATATATAATTAATATATATATATATTAATATTAGCGGCGGCGGCAGAAATATATAACCTTCGCATAATATCGCGGCACTTTCGCTGGCGTCAACGTCAAAAGGTTAGCAGCGTTGATGGCGACGGTCCGCGAGTACGGATCAGTTAGTCGACATTTTCACTTTGACAACGGGAAGAAGACTTCTGTGTCATTTGCGGCGGGACGTCGTCGGCCGTGCGGCATTTGCTGGACTTTGCACCGCGGCGTATAACGCGCGGTGTTGGTCAGTCAAATACTCATAGTAGGGCGACGGCTGACAATGGTGGCACGAGTCGCGGGGCATCGTGTATAACGAAGCGACGCGGGTCCGTGTCAGTCAAAATAAAAATTTATTTATATATATATATATAATTGATGACACACGCGCGTCTACGGGTTGGAAAATATTGTTTTATGACGAATGGGGAGCGGGGTGGTGTGAATGCGTTACGATCTTCTAGTCTCAAGGCCGTAGACACGTGCGCGTGAAAGTTATACACACAACATACATGTGAAACTAATATAAGCGAGTTAAAAATAGATAGGCTGAATTAAATTTTTTTCTTAATATAATTTCTATACAACATTGCATATAATATTGCTAAATTTCTATTTGTAGGATTTTAATTATCAATACCTACTCAATTTAAAAAAATTAAATAACCAAATAAATATAAATTACTGTATTTTTTAAGACTTCCGATTTATGTGGTAAAAACAGTGTTATGTACGTCCATCTCGCTTTCAAAAACTAATGGATGATAAAAATGTTTACACGAGAATCAATATATTAATATTAAAACTACTTAAATTAATTAAACGTCATAAATTATTGGAAAAATTATAGTTCATATCAGTTTTTCTTAAACTTTCAACAGATTATAGGATAAAATAAAAATTTTTAATTATTGATTGCTTAAATACATTTTATTTTACGTTGACAACATCTTCTTCCTGTAAAAAATGATACAATTATATATATATATTAATTATAAATATAATTATTTTAGAATGTTTTTTACAAAAAAAATTTATAAAAAACTTAACTAATCATAGGTGAGACTGAATGAATGGGCCTATCACCTAAGTGGTAATTGATGTTATTCAATATATTTTTGTCAATTTCTTAGAAATTACTTGGAAATTAAGTATTAATACATGGACGATGCTATGTTAAAGTTATAAGCAGGGGCGTCATTTGGGGAGGGTCAGGGTGTGCAACCGCACCCCTTACTTTAAAAACAGTCCCAATTGGCCTGCATTAATAATGCAACCATTTTGTTATACATCAATTCAAATTCCAAAAATATTGTATTTATTTATTTATAAATTTAACGAGCTTAGCCCTTTTTACAATGTCAGTATAAATACAATTCACAACGATTCAATAGAATATTTGAAATAATATTTGAAAAAAATTACCGTTTTAAAGTACAAAATAAGAAAAAGGAAGTGGTTAACGAGACAACATATGTGGGTCAATATTGGCACTATTTGGAATTCTTCTAATGAGCTCAATTCGTATAAGTAATTTGTAGAACTAATTTGGATGAAGAAAGGAAAATGGGAACGAGATTTTCTCTGAGGAATTTTTATATTAATTAACTGCAAAAGATACATCGAGTCAATAATACCATCCAGTAATTCATTTAAAAATTTAATACCTGCAGCAATTCTGCGACCCGCCAACGACGTCAAATTAAGTTTGCTTGCCACTGGAGAATAATCATGAGGATCATGTTGAATACCCAAAATAAATCCAACATGCCACAAAAATCTCCGTTGCATCCGTTTAATCCGATGAATAATGAGGATTCCAAACAATAGAACCATATTCAATAATTGGCCGAACCAATGAAGAATATAAAATTCTCAAGGAAAAATCTAGTTTTAATTTAGCTGCTAAACTAATTATAAAGCCGAGCTGTTTAAACGCTTTACAGCACACCATTTTTATCTAAGACTTAGGGTTCAATGTTTTACTGAACTTATTATCATGGTTCAATAAACAAATATTCTGGTAACAATTAATTGAGTAAACAATAAATATATCTTACTAAACTATTGATATTCATACCGGACGCAAGATGATGATATTGATATTGATGTTCGTAATAGTTTTAGCTTCGATGCGAATCTAAGAAGGTATTAACTTTACTATGATGTGTTTATTTTTTTTTTTGTGTCAGTCATTACTTTTTCCATACTCCTGTATGTCTTCTTTACCTTTAAATATCGGCTCCACAATACTATTTTCCCATTAATTTGGAATTTTCTCTTCTAATAAGATTTTATTAAAAAGATCCTTCAACCCCTTTATGCTAACACCATCTAATATTTTCTATACTTCTACTGGCACTTCATCTGGTCCTACTGCTTTATTCTTTTTTATTGATGCCACAGCCTCCTATACCTCTTTCTCACTAATTAAATTTACTAGTACCTCATTCCACATTAAGTATAATTATAAACTTATTTTGATTATTTTACGTCCTCAAATTTAAAAAAAAGTGACTTAAAATTTTTGAAAACTTGAAAATTTGTATAAAAAGTAGAACTTTTTCAACTTAATTCTTGAAAATGTTAAGGGAATACAACATTTTTTAAATATAAGTTAAAATAAAGCTTGTTTTATGTACTAGAAGTTCAACAAAAAAAAATTTGCCACGACCGCACTGTCCTGGGTTGGGTTTTTTTTGTTTACTTAAGTAGGTATATCTATTTTTATATGGCCTGATAAAATTTTAAAATGGCTTACTTGAAATCTTGCACACCCAAAAAAAAAATCTGAAATGACGCCCCTGGTTATAAGTTTATTAAATTAATAACTATTTTATATTATTGTATATGAAAAAATGTAATATGCTAGTATTTAGATTTTTATGTTAGATATTGTGAGATTTTATTTATTATGCAAAATATATTTTTATGTTTTTCTTCTACATTTTGATCGGAAATTTGCCCATGTTCATAACCGTTTGATAGGTTGAATAATTGAAAAGTATTGAACTATAGATTAATACTTTAAATAATACATATGCTATTTAAATATTACTTACTTGAGAATTCATCAATAGAAATGGTAATTCAGTAGTCAAATCACCACCAAGTGCCCCCAGATATAGTTTTACTTTGATTAAGTATGATACTATGATGCCAAATACTTCACTAATATCAGCGTTAGGTACTCTGTAAAAGTAATATAGAATTGTAATCAGTAAATAGTGTTATTTATTTTGACCACATAAAAATAACAAGACGTATTTATACAAAAAATTTGTTTTGTCATAATTTGTGTACTAAGTCTAATTGGTATATATATTTCTTATTCAGACAACACACCATTTTATGTTCTAATATACGATACAATACAAGTACTCACAGTACAGACGATGCCAGTGAAGGCTCTTTGTCTTTAATCGAATCTTCTATTGCGACACCATACCTCCCCTTAACATTGTCTAATGCAGGCCACATAGCAAGTGTCTTTTGTATTGACGAGCCTGGTAAAATTGGGCATCCTTCTCTAGAATATATTTTTATTATTTGAATTTTGAAATTATACATTATCTTAAAAAACTATGCTATATGCTTTCAATTATAAGCTTGTGTAGATATAAAGGTCTGGGAGAGTAAAAATTTTTAAATCCGACATCATGATATTTTTAAATCCGTATATCATGGTGTATATAAGGGATTCATAAACAAAATTCAGTTTTTTCGTGGAGAGAAACATAATTTTTAAAAAATGTCAACAAATTTTTCTTCCCCTATTAATTAGTGAGTATAATCACTGGGTTTCTGCTTCCGCTACTGTTGTTCTACATTGGCCATTTTGGAATAACATTATATCCACCATTTGCTGTACGATTACTTTGATTTTTTTCACTGTTTTATTGCTGCCATTCCGAATGCACAAAGTAACCATTATATTTTCCCCGTGTGTGTATACCTATAATAGTTTTTTATTTAAAACAAATTGAGTTTTTAGATTTTTAATACTAAGATTAAAATTGTAATATAAAAAAATAAACCAAGTATAGCGGAGTGCAGTATTGTAGGGTAGTGATAGTGTTGGAATAACAATAAATAAATCTGAAAGTGATTATATTGTTATAATAAAAAACGCTTTCATACGATTCCTTTAAATTTCACAATAATTTATATATTTGCAATTTCATAATTTCTATATTTTAACATATCCCTCAAATATTAAATACTATTAAATTATTTGATTAATTTAAAATGTAGTATATTTTTTGAAAACATTACGGTTTTTTTACTTTGGTGGTCTATTTCTTAGAGTAGAACTTTCGTGGGATAGGTTTTTAATATTGTAGTACAATTCATGCTATTTTTTTACAATGACGTAATTTTGAAATAAATTGAAAATGTTCTTGAAATACTGCGTCATTTAAACATATGTTAACTAAAAGCTTATGTTACGTAGTATAAATTATAAAAAAAATTTTCCCGACAACTTATTTTCTACGTGCAAATAGCTGCCGTAGTTAAACAACATGCTATTTTTGTGTTAAAACTTTCGATTTTATTTTTAAAATGCTATAACTTTTTGAAAAATATATAGATCAACACAAATTATTGTTTGTCTAATTATTGTATTTATCTTTTAATTAATATAAAGTTTTTGAAAATCTGACCCTTTACTTACCCATATTCAAAATAGCAATTTTTTCACGTAATATTAACTTTTGCTTTTAAAATAAACCACCAATTTCTTATAATGAACACTATCTACAGATTTGTATCAAAATGTTTCTTGTGATGGTGATTTTAATTATCATTAGATATCATCTATACTTGTCCCAACTATGCCGAATGCACACTGTGCTATTTAATTTTTTTAAATGAAAATTGAGGGTTTTTTTTTCATATTTTGACGCTAATTGGTACAACATGATTAATATCAGGTTCTTTTGATGCATAAATTAACAAAATAAATCCAGTGATTGCTGAGAATTTTCTAAGATAAATATATAAAAATATATACATGATAAATATATTCTCAGCTTCGCATCGAAATTAAAAGATTTGTGAATTGAAATTCATTAAAATGTGAATATAAATTAATTAATTGAAGTTTTAGCTGCAAAAATGAGATATGTCCTTATTTTTTCAATTAAATTTTGATAGAATATTGTAGGACAAAAACTAATTAATGTAAACATACGAGAATATTGTGTTCTGTTATTTATCATTATAGTTCTAGTAAAAAAAATGTTTTTTTTTCCCCTGAAATATTTTTAAAAGTGGCCATATCTTATTGTTGCAATAAGCCCTCTAATATTTTTTAATATTTTATATTTAATTAAATAAAAATTACAAAAAAAACGATAAAAACAACGTAAATTCAACTAAGGAGTTTTTTAGATAAAAATTTAATCCAATCAAGAAGTTAAGAATGCTACCTGTTTATCCAGTGCTACTTCTAATTCCAGTTGCCCTGGACTAAACATAAAATCTTTTCGGACTATTGTGCAGGGATGTTTGCTCATAGGACGCATAATAGGTGCATACTGTATTTTACGTATTCTCATAGCCACCGAACTCCTAAAATATATAAGAGATATTTAACAAACGTTTTTTTTTTAATTCAATGATATAAAAAAATATTTTCTAAAAAAAAATTTGGAGTGGTCGGACAAAGAACCAGCGAGATAACACTCGATCGAAATTTTTGTAAAATACATTATTATTAGGTTACAATTTATTTAGTATTAAATATTTATTGTTGACTCCTCAGAGTCAGTAGCAAAATCTGGCTGCGATCTATACGATAAATCCATGATTTATCTATGTTCCTAAACAGTCCGTCTGGATAGTGTTTTTAAATCATGAAATTGTAGTCTTAAAAAACTTTACGGAGCCTATTATGTTTGATATGCAAGGCAGAGCCGTATTTGGAGGGTCTCGGGATTAAACCCAACCGAGTATCATACAGTGACGAAACCAGGATTTTTTTTAGGGGAATTATAATTTCAAATCGCTATTCATTTCCTGCCCCTCCAATTATTTGAAAATACCCTACGGCCGGAAAGGTAACTTAAAAAAGAATTATTACTACAATAATTAATACGTGGGTACCATATGTAAAAAATATGAAATAAAAATGTATTTAGTATTATTTACCTATTGATGCACAATTTAATGTAAACAAAGAAACATTTTGCCCAATGTTGTCACATTACACTTGTGCTAATTCAACAGAATTTTAATTTTTCTCGTTTTATTTTCAATCTTATATTTATAATTTATATTTATAGTTATAACATCTAAATTGTTTGTTTAGACCAATAAATTGTATCTCATTACTCTTTTTTTGTTATGTAAGTAATACGTAATTATCTAGTGTAACCTTTTTAAAAATTATTCCTAATGATTAATTTAATTCTCTATGAATTCATTTAAAATATTTATAGCCTATACGAAATTCGAGTGCAATAGGCAATAACATAAATTAAATGAAATACGGACTTAGACATTATTGTACTGAAATTAGAAATTACTTAGCACGATTGTGATCAGTTTCAAAAAGACCAGCAAATATTTTCACATAATATTGAACGCCACACGCGTCAGTCCGATCTTTTGATCCATCTTGAAGTATTACTGACGGTGGCGCATTTTGTGGTATTTTGAATCGAAATGGCACAGCATTGCTGCCTAGTTTAGATAACAAGCATACCTGTTATAAAATATGTATTTAATTATTAGAGGAAGTACGACATTTGTCATATAAATAATTGAAAATAATAAAAATAATTGACCATATATTTAATTTTTATATTTTTTTTCATATGATTTATCATGTTAAGTATACATATAGGTTAAATAGTTGAAATAGGATAGCTCAAATGTTTATTAATCTAAGTCTTGAATAATGTCAAAATGTCCTTAAACATTTCATTTATGTAGAATTAATTAATGGTTACACATAACTTATTTATGTCTTTTAAAATGGCTATATTTTGACTTGTTTAATAGAATAGTTCTATAGAATTTTTTTTTTAAATATACATGTACAAAACAAGTATACTAACAATATAATTGCACATGTTTTTATTAAATTAATTAACTTTTGTTTCGTAACAAATTTGATTATTTATAAAATATTATGTTTAGTAGGATGATTTAATAGTTTATTATTATTATGAAGAATAACTTTAGTCATAATGCTTAAAGTATCAAAGGAGAGTCTTGTTTTTCAATTCCACGTATGTGAGGTGAAAAACAGTTTTATAATTAGAATTTATTTATTTATTGCGGTTTAACAATTGCTAAATCACTATCTATCATTTCATATCATTAATGGTATGAAAATATACTCAATGTTTTGTTAAAAATATAATATTTTTAGAATAATAATAAGGAATTTTATATAGGAAGTTATTTTAATGAATTAAGAGCAAAGTGTAAAATTATTTGATACATACTAGTTTATATGTATAAAAATTAAACGTCTATTGGCCCAGTTATTTATCTATTTTAGAAATGTGTAGGCTACATTTAATGTTGGGCTAGCCAAAAATTATTATTTTTAATCATTGAATTGAATGTAATGGAAATTAATTAATTAACGAGTAACAAATCTTGCATTCACCATGTGCGTTTTTATTTGATTTATGCTTATTTCGCCAATAACGATAGCCCTATCACCATATGGTTTTATGGTGCCTAATGGCACATAGTCGTATCATTGATAATTTCCAGAACCACAAGCCACAATTATTTTGTCAAGTTATTTATATTGGTTTATTTTGTTTTGTTTTTAACTTAATGCGCCATGTGGCGATTAGTTATTATTAAGTAGAAGTAAGACAGAGTATATAGAGTACGAGTTTGACAAAAAAGAACACGGGGTAGGTGAAATGAGGAGATCAATGATAATAAGCGAGGACGTGATAGAAGAAGTGCAAAATTTAAGTATTAATTTGTGCAAAAGAACGGTAGTATTTGCGAGGATTCAAGATACAGTAATTAATGTGGGTGTTTGAAATGGAGATAAGCGTCTGGTGTATTATGTGATAAGAGAATTCCAATGAGGCTGAAAGATAGTTTCTATAAGACTATGAGACTAGCTAAGATGTATGGTTCAGAGTGCTGAGCGGTTGACAAGAGAATAGAGCAGAGTGTAGCAGAGATGACAATGCTTAGATGAATGAGTGGAGTGACAAAGAAAGATATAAGACTAAGAACATATAAGAGGGATTATAGGTGTAGCGAAATCGTGGATAAGATGAGAGAAAATAGATTAAGATGGTTTGGTCGTGTTATGAGGAGACAGGAATCGGAATCTGTAAGAATAGTTATAGAAATGAATGTTGATGAGAAGATGTAGAGGGTGAACTGAAAAGAGATGGAGAGAGGCATGTCGTTGAATGCGATATGAGGACGGTTGATGTGTGTGTAGATGATGTGAGAAATATCGTCAAGTAGAAGTTTAGGATAAGGGTGACTGACCACAAGTAATTAGGATAAAGGCGAGGAATAATAATATGTTCTGGTAACAAGTTTTATGATTTATAAGTATAAAGAATGTATAAATATATACTATTCAAATAAAAAAATAAATTATGAAGATTGAAAAAAATGTTTTAAAAATTATCTTACACGTAGCCGGATTTCTTCGCTATTTATTCGATAATTATTCGTATAATATTTGAATTCTATGAGAATTTAGAAAAAAAATTATTCTTTATTTGATTAAATGACATAGTGATATCTCATAATGTTCAAGTTATTATTTTTATCAAATCTATATTCTTATTAATTGACATTAAATATGAATCAAACCAAGAGACTAATTTTCATAGTTATTTAAATTACAGTTTATATGGTTTATTATAAAAGATCAAGTGTTTTAAAATATGTTAAATTACCTCAAAATATTTTCATTACATTGTAAAAAGACTGAATATTTTAATAAAATCTATTTTAAATCTAATAATTTCTACCAAATTCTTTCAAAATTATTTACATTGGTATCAAGTTGATACTGATGACTAAGTGATATTTGGTGTAAGATTTAAAAATATTTTGTTATAAATATGATATTAAATTTATCTTCGTCGTTATAAAAAAATTAAAACGTCATAATTTATTTGACATTTTATATGTATTAACTTTACATATTTTTATACGTGTAAAAAATAAACAATTATAGTAAGCAATATTATACAGAGTGATTATTTTATTATTGATCATTTAATTAAATGAAAAAAAAAAAATTGAGAATTTTTAAAAATATGTTTTTTTTTAATATTTAAATTTTGTATTTTTCATGTTCATTTTTTGTTTATTAAAATTATGTCAACTTTAATTATTAAAAAACAATATACATATTTAATTTACTTTAATTATTTAAATAATGATTTAATTAAAAAATGACAGATCAATAATAAATTTTGTATCAGTATTTCGAATGTTATTAATATATGTCTATGCAAGAGTTTTTACTCTTGGCATCCAAGACATGTTTTGTAATTAAAGTAACAAAACTTGCTTCTCACCTCTAGTCACTACTTTAAATCATAAATTGTTCTTATAGAAATAATATAATTTTATATTAATAATTTGAGTTGTAACTTTAACAGTTCATAAAATATCACTACTATATTGTTTTGTATAGAAATAATTTAATTATGAATTGTTCATTTAAAATATAATTGATTTACTTGAATATTTGAAGGTTTAAAAGAATTGTATTCGTCAAGAGATGGATAAATCTGAACTGAGGCTAAGTACATATCTTTTTGGAAATTCAATCCCATTACTTCGTCTTCTTTACGGCCATACCGAAAACTGCACACAACTTGCCCGAATATTTTTCCTTGTTTCAAAAATGAATTATCCAAAACAATTATTCCATCTGGAAATTTTATAATTTGCATTAGATTTAAATTAGTTTTAATTTTAGATTTCCATTTTTTTTTTGTGATTTTCTTTTAATAAAATTATATTTTTGACAAATTATTTTTTACTTTAACTACAATGTATAGAATTAAAGTAGATTACTATACAAGTTTAACCATTGATTTAATTATTATGCTCTGAGTTAACATATTTCAATAAATTTTAGTATAAAATTAAATTATCTGAAAAAATTTAATCGAGCAACTTTTGAAATATTGTGGGTTTTATTAAAAATTTTCTATGTAAAATTGTTTAAAAACTAAATAATGAATACTTTTTAAATACTCTTGCATAAATTGTTGTAGGATATTTATTTGGTCTGTGAGATACTTAAAAATTAATTAATGGTACGATAAGCTTACCAATAGGATCAATAAAAGATATGTGATCTACAATATCTCGTTTACATAGATATAGCATCATTTTGTTATCTGACGAACATTTTTTGAATACTGTGAAATTAACGGGCATATTTTCTGTTAAACTTTATAATACCTTTAATGTATAGAATTGACAGGCATAATTCAAAATTTCTTCAAACAGTCAGTGACCAACGATACTTTTGTATATAAATACTGCTATATGGTTTCATTGCTTCTGGTAAGATAATCTCGTTAATTTAAATTCATACACCCACATAGGGTTATTATTAAATTAAGCTCTAAATGAAAAGTCACATTTTCAATTATGTGAATGCCACTGAGAAACCTTACTGTTGATGAAAATTACAAGTTTTGTCTATTAAATAATATTTATGGTCAGCGTACAGTGTGTGATAATTTAAAAAATAAAAATGTCTAAGTTTTTTAAAAATGTTATTTTTAATAATTTACTAATAAATATTTATTTTATTGATATTTTTCAATTCAATTATGGAGAATAAAAAAAAATTGATTGAAATAAGAAAATAATTTTAGTACACCGAATTGTTGAATATTTTTGTCGAACAAATAATTATTTTCTTCAACAAATGTCAGAATAGTTATGATAAAAATTACTTAGACCTTTAAAATAAGTGCACAACTCTTTTTTTTATAATGAAATACAAATTAAATATCAATGATAGAACATCAAAATGTCGCTAATCAATTATATAGATTAAATTAGATACATATCGGTCGAGTGTGTTGTCGTTATGCTACACCAAATTGTTGTCGGTCTTCTCTCTATGTCTGCATTGTCGCCGCTATCTTAGCTATAAGTTCTATGGCGCTTGGGAGCCCGTAGTTTTGTATACCTTTTGTTTTAAAAAGTAAAATTTTCCTTTGTAATTGTAGTCCCTTGTGCGCTCAGTGTATTGTCATTGGGTTAATTTGTTTACTGAGATACATCACAGTATCGTTCACAGCATAGTGTACACGTTGGTCAACTAATTGCATTCGACTTCAATTGATCCATTCAATATTCAACCTTATCATCAGTTGTTACAATTAGCCGATAATGCTTTTGTAATTTATTATTTGTTATATCAGCGTCATTGAGACATTAGTATTAAGTATCTCTCCTATACCTATTGGTGTATACAAGATTTTATGATTCATGTATAATACATTTAATTGTAGTATGTTTTGAAAATTTATTCATACAGTCAAGTCACCTTATTCCTTTTCCTCGACATAGCCATACTGAAGACAAAATAAAAAAATGAACGATAACGAACCCGCGTGAATACCAGTGCGTTCATCCGGATTCTAAATTTTTTTTTTCTAGTTATACATGTATTCAAAAACTTTTTTGAAGCATATTCTTAGTCTACACTCTTGAGATAAACTTTACTTTTCCTTCGCCATATCTGTATCAACATACACTTTTTTCTAAATAGTTTATATGTACCTCTTTCATCCTACATTTTTTTTTTAATTCGGACAATTTTTTTTTTAGGATTTTTTTTAATACATTACAAATTAAAATTAATAACAATTTAAGAGAAATTTATTTTACCTCTTCTTTCCTCAACATTTTTTTCAATAATTGTTGATTTAAAAAGTATATTTTTGATTCCGATGAAATTTCCTTATAGACCAATGTATTTATTCATAAATAAAAAACTTTTTTTACAAAGTATTGCATTAAGACCTTTAATTTTTATAAATATTTGTCATTAAAGTTACGAAATAAACTACTTTATCATTTTATATTATTTTTCCGTATAAATTACAATATTAAATTATTAGGCTCCGTCTAGCTGGAGCTCCGCCTCAGACCCGGAGCCGTACGAGCCTTACGCGCCGAAGTCGCGTAAGCCTCTTCGGGCCGTCATCATAAGTAGGCCACTGATTCGCTACGCCGGGCACGATAAATGTTTTGCAGAAAAAATATTACATCATAATCAGTGTAACAAAAATATATAAAAATGTTATTATTAAAATCAGGAAAATTGAAAAGAGAATATAGTAAAATGTATTGGGTATAAAGTTGACGTTTGTTAATGAGGTAATCCCTTTAGGCATATACAAAAATTATTTTAGGAGGGTATTTAATATTTTTTTTGATAAAAATTAAAGTAATGAATGAACTTATTAGAAGTTGCCTAAAAAAATATTGATAGCGCTGGTGGTTCAAGGAGGGCCCATATCTTCCTTATATACACCCCTGGAATACACAATAATTATTAATATTCTAATTATAATAATTGTGTTTATATTATAGAATAATTAAAAAAACATTCAGCAGATATTTATACGTATATAGTATTTATATCAAATAATTCTACTTGTGTTAAAATGTGAAGATAATTTAGTTCCTGTTGATAGTTTTCACTCAGCACTTTACATTAGCTCTGACATTACTATAAGACCTAGTCGATCAGTAGCTATTAATAAAAAATTTAACTTTAAAAATGTAGATTATGTTTTATTAAATAAATTGTTAAATAATTTAAATTGGTTTTACTTGTATGAATGCAATAATATAAATTTCGCTGTCGATAGGTTTTATGAATTGATTTTTTCAGTTAATGAAAAATCAATTCCAAAAACCTCATCGAGTAAATCGTCGTTCCCAAACTGGTTTTCTAAAGAATTAATATCCTTAATTCGTAAAAAAAATAAATTACACAGGAAATTTAAAAAAAAGCTTCTTTATCTATTTATGAAGAATTTTCTGTAGTTAGATTTAAGTGTAAAAAGCATTCGAAAATTTGTTATTCTAACTATTTGAATGATATTCAAAAAAATTTAAAAACCAATCCTAAATTTTTTTGGTCCTACGTAAAAAATTGTAAAAAGGTAAATTGTCTTCCTTCTACCTTCGAGCTAGATAATTTTCATTCAGATAATATTAATAACATTGTTAATATGTTTGGCCAATTTTTTGGTTCTGTTTATTCAAATTCTAGTAATATTACAAATGGGTCTTTTAGTAACATATATGAACGCATTGATATAAAGAATTGTTATCTCTCAATAACTGAAGTTTTTGAGGGTCTATTGAAATTTGAATATGAATATGACCGTAGGTCCGGACTTTGTTCCTGAGATTTTTCTCAAAAACTGCCGTTACTCCCTTACTTGTCCAATCCATTTTCTTTTATCTTTATCTTTATCATCTGGTATTTTTCCTATGACTTGGAAAACCAGTTATGTTTACCCTATTTTTAAGTCTGGGACAAGATCTAACATACGTAATTACAGACCTATAACTAAAATGAGTATTATACCGAAATTATTTGAAAAGTTGTTAGTACCAAAATTGTATTACACTTTTAGCTCAATATTGGTAAACAATCAACATGGATTTAGAACTTCTAAATCTACAGTTACTAATTTACTTGTCTACTATTCTGATTTAATGTCTATTATTTCTAAAGGTGGTTAAGTAGACGCTATCTACACTGACCTTAAAAAAGCGTTTGATAGTGTTAATCATTCTATATTAATAAGTAAATTAAGTGCTATGGGAGTCGGTAACCCTATGATAGATTGGCTTTCGTCTTATCTCAGTGGCAGAAAACAAATAGTCAAAATTGGTGATGTAACGTCTTTTACTATTGATGCTACATCTGGTGTACCCCAAGGTGGTCATTTTCACCTCTTTTTTAATAATTTTTATAAATGATCTTAGTAATGTTTTCAATCACTGTAAATGTTTATTATTTGCGGATGATTTGAAGTTATACTTATAAATTAACTCACCTAGTGACTTTTTTAAATTACAATCAGATCTAGATAAATTTATATTATGGTGTTTTGAAAATGGTTTACAAATAAATAGTGACAAATGCTCACAAATCACATTTAGTAGAGCTAAATCTTTTTACAATTATCAATATGTAATTAATGGTTTTAACCTTTCTATAGTTAATCACATAAAAGATTTAGGCGTTTTTCTGTCTTGTGATTTATCTTTTTCGAAACATATTAGCTATATTTACAAAAAAGCGTCGCATACATTAGGATTCATAAGACGTAATTGCAATGAATTTCATGATATTGATTGTTTAAAAACTTTATACTTTTCTCTTTTAATATCTGGCCTGGAGTACGGTTCTATTATTTGGTCCCCATTTATAGCCAACGATATTAAAAATATTGAATTTATTCAAAAACGTTTCTTAACCTCTTTATCGGGCAAATTTAATAACAATAGGATTAACCAAAAGATTTTTTTTAATAATTTGAAAACGGACTCTCTATAATATAGAAGACAATATTTAGATGTAAAGTGGATGTATAATTTACTCAATAACAAAATCGATTGTCCCGAAAATTTAGAAAAGTTACCATTCAATGTTCCTCAAGTATTTCTTCATAATAATTCCATGTTTTATATACCTGCCCTCACGCAGAACTATTGTAAAAATTCGCCAGTTAATCGCATGCTAAACTTATGTAATTCATTAAAAAATTTTGATTTTAATCATGATTCGTCAACATTATTATTGTCAACATGTCGTATTACTTTCAAAGTATAATTTTAAGTAATCTTTCAAATGTTTACTTTATATTTATTTATATTCATTTTGTATTTTTTTTAGTTTAATATTTATAACTTAAAAGTTTTAAGTTTTATAGTTTGTTATTATTTGTATTGATTTGTATTATTATTGTACTATCTGCCCTAATGGGCGTAATCATCATCATCATTTTGAATGATGAAATAAATAAATAAATATTATTATATTAAATTATACATGATTCTATCATAAATTTATTAGTAGTCACTTTTAGAAATCATTCCTTCCAAGAGGAATTCTACAAATTATTTTTGTCATCTTTGTTATTTTAGCTTTAATAATTAAATGCATTGTATTAATCCTGGTCTTGTTGGAAAAAACTATGTCAATGTTATATATAAATGTCAAAATTATTTATATTCTATTCATCTGTAATAATCTCTGTATTTTATGCTTATTTATCAAATAAACAGTTATACTTTAAGAATTAGACAATGATGATTTTCGTGGGTAAAAAATATTATAAAAAGGCAAAGCAAACCCTTATTCCACACTGTTAATTTCATTCTCTGGATACATAACGATACGTGGATATTGCAATCATCATTGTCGAAGTTCTTACGTGTTTAATATGTGAACCAAAAACTTATATGTGTTACTTTATTTATCATTTTATTAATATTATCACTGAAGTTAATATAAC